GTTAATGCCTATATTTATATATGATCAGTGTGTATTAGTACTATTTGAGCAGAGACACAGAATTCATATTTACTGCTGAGGTCCATGAACTCAAAAACAAGTGGATAGCCATTCCAAGTTGGATAACTAGGTAAGTTATAGGTTTTATGGTGCAGCACACTAGGCCGTATGCCACATCAACATGCATTTAAAAAAAAACTCACAACAAAAGAACTCAGTAATTTAGGCTGCAGTCCAATTACTAGAGAGGGTCCTGTTAAACTCAATGAAACTTGCTATCTAGGAGACATGCTATTTAGAGAGCATGTCATGGAAATAATGACATGGGAATAATCTGTTTTTATAAAAACCACCAATGGGTAATATGATGCTGTACCTGGGATCTTATACAGGCAAAGCACATACAATATACCACTAAGTTGTAGTTTTCCCCCAAATTTAACATGTTCTAAATAAAATGCTTTTGTTCAGACATATTTTTATTCAGCTATTATTCATATTATCTAAAAAGATAGACTAACCCCCCCTATTGTGTAGTTGATCACTCCTTTTATGTTTGAACCTGAAAGACGTTCCATTTGCCAGTTGTTTGCTTTTAGAACTAGGTAAGTGAAAATTGCTAAGCACACAAACTTACGGTCTTCTCTGACCTTGCTGCTCAGTCCCCCTGCCTTGCCCCACTCACAGACAGCATGCAAAGAACTACACTGACTGCTGTCCCCAGCAGTAACTGCCCCCTGCTACTTCCAATCAGCAGCTCCCTTTCAACCATTTTTCCTAAGACTAGACACCTTAAATATCCCTGTAAGGAACAATAAGCCGTGGTATTGGAGAGGGACCTCCTTAGGTCCACTTCAACAGACAGGACTGCCCAACCTGTGGCCCTCCAGATGCATTTTGACCAAAATTCCTATCAGCCCTAATCATCACTGCTAATGGTAAGGCATACCAGAAGTTGTAGGCCAAAACATTTTGAGGGTAAAATGGAGATCAAGGTTCTGTAAACCACCTTGGATCTTTGCAAGAGGATAAAAGTGAGCATGCAATGCAATAAATAAATAGTGTAAGGTATCTGGAGTCAGCAGAGAAATGGGAGAAAAATGCTTTAATAAAGGAAATAAATGAATGCTGCCTCAACCTCTTTGGCAACTAAGCAAGTGCTTTCAAGAGGTCTTGGACTACAAAACTCCTCATCCCTGATCACTGGCCATCTGGTCAGGGCAAGCTGGATCACATTCTCATACTCCAAAAATTCCCCAATACCATTCCATCTTAACACTTGGTCAAAGAACCTACCTCCTTTCCCTCACACTTTGGAGCTTCACCACAACTCCACACCTGTCTTCTGATTAATTAGTGAGTTTCCTCTTCTCTTGCCTCAAAATCACTCATGTTCTCCCCATTCCCAGTACTTCATGCCCACTCCCAACACTGGCCAGCCCACCCCCCCTTCTCTGCTACCTAATCTTCAATAATATAGGCCACATCTCCTCCTCCTCATGGCTTCTCCTGTTTCCCCTCCCATTTCTCCCTGACATTTGTTCCCATTATTATCTGCAGTTTTTGCATTTCAATTCTGAGCACATATTATTATTAATTGTATTTCTGTATCACCTGCAAGGTGAAATTCTTTCACGGTTTACATTCCTACACCATTCTAATTACTGTGGCAGAAAGGTTTTAGACAGAAGACTACAGATGCTTAAAAAGCAAGAGCTGTTGGGGTTTTAGATACCATAAGGGGGCTTTCCTGTCTTGTTTTTTTACTAAAAAACCACAGCCCAAGACTTCTTGCAAATAAGCATATTTTAAAAATCTGTATTTTAGACCACAGAATATTTTATTTTTTATAACCTACATCTGTATATATACTGTAAGCACAACATAAACAGTACCCTTTAGCCACCTGAAACATTAAACATTAGCACACCTTGCTATGTATGCTCAAGTTTAATTTTATTTGTATTTATACTCTGCACTGAAGCAGAACCATGCAACATGCACACACAGTGCCTACTTGCCAAATCCAATGTGTAGCACATGTTACACCTCAGTACAGTAGTCCACTGGTGGACTGGTGCACGCCTTTAAATCTGTTACGTGCCTCAGTGTTCCTCACCAAGAGAAAAGGTGGAATATAAATGCATAGTAATAAATGCCGTTGTCAGCGGCAGGGATCAGGCGCGCGAAATGATCCCTGCGGTCTTCACCAATACTAGCACTAACGATGATGCGGTGCCTGTGAGTATGTGCAGAGCGCCCCTCCTCGCCTTAATGACGACCCACTTCTTAAAGCCGAGAGGAAGGCAGTCCTCAAGCCCCTTCAGAAATGCCCAGCCACAGATCCGCTCAGCTCCCCTTCCCCAGCTTACGGGGCATCCTGGTGAGCACGTTGCGCGGAGCCCGTCTGGCCCGCGCCCTGGCCCTCTCGGCTGCTTCTGGCCCGGGGTCCTTGGCCACCATGAGGCTGCGGAGGCGCTGGAGTCGCTCGGGGTCCGCAGGAGCCCGGCCAGCCCTGCTGCGGGCGCGCGTGCCGGCAGAGCGGCCTCGCGAGCGCCCCGGCGCGCGGACTAGGCCACGCTGGAAGCTCTCGTACTCGGCCAGGTTGTTGAAGCAGGGCGCGGCCGGGTACGGCAATGGGGTGCGCTCGGCGTAGAGGGCGAGCAGCGGGTCGAAGCGCGGCGAGCTCACGTCCAGGCGCCCGGGGCTCGGAGATCGTTCCGAGCTGCTGCGCCCGCTGGAGCGGCGGCGGCGCCGCCTGGGCCCGGCCCCAGCCTTCTCCGCCTCCTCCATCTCGCTCTCGTTCGGGTCCTGACTTTGCGGGGCGGGACCAGAGGGAGAGACACGGCGCTTGCCGCTTTCGCTGCTAAGGGCCGCCCCAGCCCCGCAATTGCACGGTAGGCGCCTTCCCCGCCCACGCGCCCCGCTCGGCGCTTGCAAGATGCTCCCGGAAGACGGCGAGCCTCGGTCATGCCCGACGGCCATGCCTTGCTCTGCGCTGCTTGACCGACCTCGGGTAACTGTCCCTTCTGCCGATCGAAACTGGTGTAAAAATCCATTATTTTTCAACCCTATCCTGGACTGCCTCGGTATTATTCTGTGTGAGTTAATACGAAATAAGGACTACTTGATTCCATAAGCAGTCCTCCTTAATAAGAAAAAGGGAGGGGAGAGGTAGGGAGAAGTTACAGGGTTCCATCATGACCGAAACTGGCATGTGGATTTTTATTAACCCCCCTCCAAAAAAAAAAAAAAAAAAAAGATCTTGAGTCTTACCATGCTCTATACTTTCTGCCTGGTCTTCATTAGTCCATTCTTCTGCAAAGTGTTCCAGAATTATAGTGGCATCACAGTCCCAGGAGTTTCTGGAAAAGGCAGATTATCTAGATCCTTTTCAGTTTGGCTACTAGGCTAGTTATGAGACTGAAAATATTTCTATCACCACCTTGGGCACTCTACACTAAGAACTAGAGAGGAATACCTGTATCCCTGTTAGTGAATGATATCAAACACCACTTTGTGGTGTTCAGTAAGTTTACCACGATATTCCTTCGGACTAGATGGCTGAGATGGGCTTCAAAGGGGCAGTTTCAGAGGTTTAGTGCTGCGGGACTCTATTCCACACCATGGCCTTGGCTTATAGACAGTGTCCAAATAGTAACCACTATGGCAAAGTTGGAGAGAAAGGGTGTTTTGCCTTTCAGGGCGTGCTTGTTTCTACCTACCCTGTCCCACTTCTAGCCTTAGGAACTGTGCAGCAGGAATGTGTCAAGGAAGGGATGTGCTTTAGAACAACTCCATAACCTCCAGCCAATATGGCTTTTCTGGCTGGGGTAATAGTTGTAGTACAACACATCTAGAAGTCACCTGCTTGAGATAGGCTGAGGTATGCAAGGGCTAAGCTGTTTCCACATACTTTGGCCCACCCCCAGACCTAAGAGCCTTCATGAAGGAGCTGCTACTGCTGCTTTTGTATTTCATGGCTGTGCTATCTTCAGTACTACATTTGCCCAGGTGTCTTTCCAAATTGCCTCTCTTGGTGCTCTACTGCCTAAAGCAGGGGTCCTCAAACTTTTTCAACAGGGGGCCAGTTGAATGGTGCCGGGGGTGGGTGCGAGCTGCCAAGGTAGTGCCGGTGGGGGGGGGGACGCGGGCAGGTGAGGGGGCAGGGTGCACAGGGCAGGGGCACGTGGGGTGAGGCCATGGCTTGCTTTTGCGATCATTTTCTCCGAGTGAGTCCAGAACGATCTCTGCATGAGCAAGCTGCATACACGGCGAGTGCAAAACCTCTGGGACGAGCTGGTTAAATGGGCATGGCGGGCCGGATTCGGCCCGTGGGTCATAGTTTGAGGACCCATGACCTAGAGAGCCAGGAGGGTGGTTTCCTTGGGGATAAGGATGCCCTTTCTTGGCTAAGACTACAGAACCCTGGCAAGCAGCTCTTTCTGTAGCCTGATGGGCTGTTTGAAATGGACATTTAGCTTTATCTTTCCCTTTTTATACTGTTGAGTTTGATGTGGGCAAAGCATTTTGGTTAGATTTTAATATGTACTGTTTCTGATACATGAATTAAGCAATTCAATAAGCACTGTTTAATGTGGACTTTGTTGATATTGGATACTGCTAAGTGACATGCTAGTATGTCTTATGCTCAAACCTTCAATATATTTCAAATTAACTGCAACTGAGCTGTTAATATTACATGGTAATGTTTTATAATTATGGTTATTGTATTTGTGCAGCTCACAGAATAGTACGAAAAACAGAGTGTTTCGATTAACTGTGAATCCAGCAGGGTTCCATCCTATCCCTCATGCTGTTTAATGTTTACATGAAACCTCTAGATATTTTACAGGAAGGTTGAGTTCAGTGCCACTAATATGAAGACAATACTCAACTTTGTCTTTCCTATCCATTTAAATCCAGTAAAACCATTCCCATGACTGAACATCTGGCATCAGGGCTTTTTGCTGGGTTATCCTCAGAATTTGGAACAGGCCCCCTCTGGAGCTACAGCTGGTCCCTGCTTTCTGAATTCAGGAAGAGGGGCAATACACATCTTTTCATTAAGCTTTTGAAATTGTTATGGCTTTAAGATTTTTAACTTTCCCAATGTTTCCTACTCTCTCAGCACTCTGCCATTGTTTACTCACCATTCCACCTCCACAGAGAAATGTTACAGACGGCAGCTGTAGCACCAACATATTATCATGTGAGTGGAGCAGTACATGTGTGTGTGATGTCTGTCTGCTTGTTTGCTTGCTTTCCTAATGCCACTGTAATGCTTTGAGAAAACAGAATCCTGTGAGGGACTGTGCCAGGCAACAAGCAGGCAATTGCAGCTGCCAGTTAGGAATGGCAGGCTGAGGCTCTTTGAGGCTGTTGCCATTACTTCCCCAGCATCCTTCACTGAGGTGGCTGCCTCACTCTGCTGAACAGTAAGGCCACCTCTGCGTTCAGATATGACAGGCTTCTGTTCAGTGTAACACAAGATGAGGGAACAGGGATTCAACCAGTCTCGGATGGGGTTGCACCGTCATTCAAGAAACAGGTTTTCATTTTGGGTATGGTCCTGGATTCAGCCCTGAACTTGGATGCCCAGCTCCGAGAATGGCCAAGAGCACTTTTTCACAGCAGAGGCTAAAGCACCAACTATATCAATAGGTTAAGGATGTAACTGAAAGATTGCCAAGATTTATACAACCCACTGACATGTATCCCTTTATTCTTATACATGTGGAAACAAATCACTAGCCTTACATCCATTGTAGGAAAAACTGTGGAAAGCCTCATAATAGCGAGAGATCTAGTGATGCTAGATAGGGAAGGGATGCTGGCAGCCACACAACACAGCTTCCGCAAAAAAAGGTCCTGTCAGACAAACCTTGTGGAATTCTACGACAAGGTTTCTAGGGGGCTAGATGGAGGGGATGCAGTGGATGTGGTTTACCTGGATTTCAGCAAGGCCTTTGACAGAGTGCCCCATGATATCCTGGTGGAGAAACTGAGGTGTTTTGGGATACACCAAAGCACTGTCCAATGGATTAGGGCATGGTTGACTGACCGAAAGCAAAGGATAACCATTAGCGGGGATTCATCGGGATGGCGGCCAGTGACAAGCGGGGTCCCCCAGGGCTCTGTCCTGGGGCCGATCCTGTTTAATCTTTTCATCAATGACATGGAAGAAGGGGTGAAAAGTCTGCTGATCAAATTCGCAGATGATACTAAAACTGGGGCAGTGGCCACACCTGAGGAGCAGGTACTCCAGATCCAAAAGGATCTGGACAGACTATGGAAGTGGGCAGGAGACAACAGGATGGCATTCAATGTGGGTCAGTGCAAGGTCTTGCACTTGGGGCATAGGAATAGGTGTCATAAGTACATAATAGCGGACAAGTGGCTGGAGAGCAGCACTTGTGAAAGGGACCTCATGGTGCTGGTTGACTGCAGGCTAAACATGAGTCAGCAGTGTGGTGCGGTGGTTAAGAGGATGAACACCACCCTTGGTTGCATAGCCAGAAGTTTGGCTTCTAGATCGAGAGAGGTATTACTACCACTCTATACGATTCTGGTGCGCCTGCAAGTGGAGTATTGTGCTCAGTTTTGGGCCCCTCATTACAGGAAGGTTATAGCCAGGTTAGAGTCAGTGCAGCATAGGGCCACAAGGCTGGTGGCCAGTTTGCAGGGGATGCCATATGAGGCAAGACTGAGGGAACTGGGTCTCTTCAGCCTGGAGACGAGGAGACTCAGAGGCGATCTGTTGGCAACATACAGGTATGTGAGGGGATGTCACACAGAGGTGGGTAGAGAGGAAGGCAGGACATGCTCCAGCGGAGCAAAGCTCAGGGAACCAGTGTTCAATTTAGATGCCAGGAAGCACTTCCTGACTGTTAGGACCCCAAGGGTGTGGAACGGGCTTCCCCGGGAGGTGGTTGAACCCCATCGGTGAGGGTGTTCAAAGTTAGGCTGAACATGCACATGGTGAGCATGTCGTGAGCAGAGCCGGCTGGAGCCGGGGGTCAGACTAGATGCCCCAGGAGGCCCCTTCTGACTTGCTCTGTTTCTATGTTTCTAAATAACACTGCCAAGCTGGGCTTTGAAGGAATCTTGCCAGACTTGGAACCTGTAGGGAGAAAAGTAAAGTGGGGCCCAGATAGTTTTCTCTTTAATCTTTCCAGTTTGCAGAAGAGGAATAGACAAGGAAAGAAAAGTACTGCAAGTGAATGCCTGACCACAAAGGTGGTGTCAACATGAGAGACTGGATTTTAGAACCACAGGCTATACTTCCTGGAAGATGGACTGTTGGGAAAGGATAGCTTTCACCTTACAAGGCCTGGAAAGAAAGTGTTTGGCTACAGCATGATAAGTTTATCAGGACTGCTTTAAACTAAACTCTACAGGGGAGGGAGTATACCTGCATCACAACAGAAAGAACATTTCTAACAGTGCCCAATAATAGTCTTCCAAAAAATGTAGGAAGAAAGCTACTGTATAAAGCATGTGGTCTTCAATGTCTATATATTAATGCTTGGAGTATGGGAAACAAACAGCATGAACTAGAACTCTTCACACAGGAGGGTAAATAAAACCTGATACGTATAACTGAAACTTGGTGGGATGACTCCCATGACTGGAATTCAACAATTGAAGGATATAACCTATTCATGAAGAACAGAAAGGGAAGCAGAGTCACACTATGTGTTAAAGGTACATAACTTCACACAGAAATACAGAGGCTGAGCTTAGTAACCCCACTGAGAGCATCTGGATTAATATAAATGGCACAAGGAATAAGAAGAATACAGCGGTTGGAGTCTATTACCAATCACTGAGTCAAGGAGAAATCTTTTCCAAAGCAAGCTGCCGGCGTTTCAAGGAGGCATGATGTCGTTATGAGGGATTTCAGTTTCCCAGATATCTGTTGGGAGACAAATTCTGCCAAACATGGCCCCTCTAAGAGATTCCTAATGTATTGCTTATAACTTGCTCCAGAAAGTGGAGGAAGGAACAAGAGGAACGGCTGTCCTTAACCTGATACTAACAGGAATGACCTAGTGGACAAAGTGGCAGCTATGAGAACTCTGGGGGAAAGTGATGTACCCCTTGGATTTCAAGAAATCCAATTTTAATAAACTCAGAACAATTATAAGTAAAGTCCCATGGCAAGTGAGTGTAATGAGAAAAGGTGTCCAAGTTGAGTGGGGATTTTTTTAAAAAGGGAAATTCTAAAGACAACATTACGAACAATTCCAACAAGGAAAAATGGGTAGAAGACAACAGAAGAAGCCCATGTGGCTTCACAAAAAACTTAGAGATGATCTGAAAATGAAAAAGGACATCTATAGGAAGTAGAAAGAAGGCCAGACTACAAAGAAAAAATACAGGCAGGTAGCAAGGAATCAAAGGGAAGGCTAAAGCTAGGAATGAATTGAGGCTACAGGAGGATGCTTAAAACAACAAAAAAGCCTTCAGATATGTCCAAAGTGAGACAGAAGAAAGAAATGGGGTTCAACTACTCAACATGAATGGCAAAATGATAACACAACAAAAGGCAGAAGTACTCAACTACTTTGGCTCAGTCCTCTCCCAAAGGAAGACTTACGACCTTCCTGATGAAGGGAAAGTACAGGCTGAAGGAAGAGGATAGCAGCTCAGGATTGATGGGCAAATGGTCAAGAGTCATTAACTGGGTTGAATGAGTTCAGATCTCCAGGGCCTGATGAACCCTATACTACAGTCATAAAGGAACTGGCAGAAGAACTCTCAGAACCACTAAGAGAGATCGTGGAGGACAGGGGAAGTGAACGATGGCTGAAGAAAGGCTCATGTTGTCCCTGTCTGCAAGAAAGGAAAAAAAGGACGAACCTGGGAAGTACAGACCAGTCAGCCTGGCATCAATCCCTGAGAAAATTCTGGAACTGATTATAAGGCTGTCAACCTGAAAACACCTTGAACACAATGTAGTGATTACTAGAAGCCAGCATGGATTTCTTAAGACCAAATCCTGCCAGATTAATCTGATTTCATATTTTGATTGGGTAGCCTCCCTGATGGACTGTGGGAATGCTGTAGACATAATCTATCTTGTCTTTAGCAAAGCTTTTGACAAAATACCCCATGATATCCTGATTAGCAAATTAGCTAAAAGTGAGCCAGATGGAACAACTATCAGGTAGATCCATGGTTGACTACAGAATTGGACTGAAAGAGCGATCATCAATGGCCCCCTCTCAAACTGGGAAGAGATAACAGGCGGGGTACTGCAGGGTTCAATCGGGGGCCCAGTGCTTTTCAACATTTTTAAGGATTTGAATGAGGAAATACAGGGAATGATTTTCAGATTCACACATTTGTTCAACTGGGTGGGGATAGCTAATACTGCAGAAGATAGAAAGAATATGAGTCAATAATGTGATGTGTTTGGAGCATCACTTCCAAATCCTGTGAAACACTATGTCCCCTTTAGTCAGCATTGGTTAGGCCTCATCTGGAGTACTGTGTCCAATTCTGGGCACCACAGTGTAAGAAAGATGCAGACAAGCTGGAGGGGGTTCAGAGGAAGGCAACAAGGATGATCCAGGGACTGGAAAAAGCCCTATGAGGAGAGATTGAAAGAACTGCGTGTGTTTAGCCTCAAGAAGATTGAGGGGAGATATGATAGCATTCTACAAGTATGAGTACTTTAAAGGCTGTCACAAAGAGGAAGGCCAGGATCTCTTCTCCATCATCCCAGGATGCAGGACATGGAATAATGGGCTCAAATTATAGGAAGCCAGATTCTGGCTAGAGATCAGGAAAAGATTCCTGACAGTTAGAGCAGTACGACCATGGACCCAATGACCTAGGAAGGATGTGAACTCTCCTACACTGGGACAGCCATCCGAGAGGAATGGTTTAACTTGGGAGTCCTGCACTGAGCATGGGGTTGGACCTGATGGCCTTGTGCCCCTTTGCAAATCTTACTATTCTATGATTCATTCCTAGAGAAATTAGATGTTAACATGATGACACATGCCAGTTACACTGTATTTGGACTACCACTGTTTGCTTTATAGGGGGCTGTCTTTGGACAGTTTGAGAACCACAAGGGATCCAGAATGCTGAGATATCCCTGTGGACCAGAGCCAATTACAGGGAGCATATGATTCATATTTCAACAACTTTACTGGCTACTGGCCCATTTCAAGGTAAATTGAACTTGGGAGATTACCTGAAAAAACACTCCCATACAAGGCTGCTTTGGTTTTAACACCTTTAGGAGAGGCCCTTTTGGAAACCCACTAAACTCCTGAAGCATTATTAGTAAGACCTCAGGACTTTCTTAGCAGCTGCTCTCAAGCTCTGGAACATCAGAGAAAAACACCTTTAGCCTGCCTGGTAAATTTTGGGAGCCATGAAATATTTGGGAGCAAATATGTTCCTATTCCCAGGCTTTAAGCCTGATAAGGTGATTTATTTTAGGACCATCAGAAGTGCAATTAGGTGGTTTCATAGGTGGCTTTTTATCACATCCAGCCATTCTTGGTTTATAGAATTTTACAGACAATTCAGATATCGGGTTTCAATCAGCCCTCCCGTATTTTCCCACAGTGTTTTGAGTCTTTTTCTCTTTAATGAATTTCACACTGAGAAAACAAAACCAGAATAGCTGCATAATGCTAATTGTTAACATTAGGACCCCTCCATCTAGAAGCACCCATTAATTCAATGGGCTGTTTTTATTGATATATATATATATATATATATATATATCAGCGCTATGTTTTTATTGCTATTGTGCATTTTACTTTTATTGCTGTTCAGCCTTGAGCACCATTTAGTGAAAAAGAGGGAGACACATTTCATAAAGATAAATAGCCACTATCCTCAACATTGCCAAGGTTTATGCTTGAGCTATGGTATTATAAACTAATTAATCCCATTTACTTCAGAAGAGTAATTCATAGTGTGTTATCAATACAAAAACACAATCTTACAATACAGTTGTAGGCTTATCTACTAAGAAGTAAGTCCCACTGAGTTCAATATGGCTTACTTCCAGGAAATAGGCACCAAACTACAGCCTTAAGATACATGCATTAAATACATATTGCTTTGAAGTATTTTTATGATTACTCTACCTACATTAATAAATATAGCCACTATGTCAGATGAATATTTTTATTAGAAGTTTTTTAAAATAGGCTTTAATGAATGACACTAAAATGCCTATTGTTCCAGCTAATCTTATTTCCTTTAAAAGCAGGATAACAATGGGGAATGACAGAGGGAGAAACCTGGAATAACAGTAGGAAAACAACCTGTGTAAAACCCTTCTGTTAGTATCTCCCAGAGTCTGGGTTGGTTTGCACTTAACAGTACGTTGACCTATGTAGTATGGTCTGTTTGCTGAGGAACCCCTGGCCTGCCTCACAAACAACTGGGCTTGGTTGGGGTTTTCCTCTTCATTCTCCCCTCTCAATCCTGTAACTACTCCAGGACACTTTGCAGCCCTAACTGCTCACCCCAGACCCTTCCATATTCTAGTCATTAATTCTTGTTGTTTTCACCACCCTTGCCAAATTGTCCTGGAGAAGACTGAGGCAGCGACCTACAACAAAATTGCTCTCCCAGGTTTGACTCATGCAACAACCTGTTGCTGTTTGATAAGCCACTAGAACAAGCCATAGATTATCAGTGTGGCTTGTTCACAAACAATAAGCCACCCCTGCTGAAACCATGATGGGGTGTCACTCCTTGAGAACCAAGTCACTGTCTTGGCCTGATTTTTACATGGACAAACGCTCACACAGATCTCACAATCACTCCAAGTTGCCTCATCTTTTCTTTCCTTGGGAAGAAGCCTTGCGATTCCATGGCTCTTTAAGAAGGAAACACAGAAGAGCAGCACAAACTCTTTTTGAACTTCACACCACAGTAAAAAAGAACTTTCAGTTAAGTTGGTTGCCACAATCCTCAACAGCAGGAACTGGATAGTTTCCCAGGCAGCAGAAAATGAGAGCATGACCTACAAACATATCCTGCTGTGATACCCCCCTTATACAATAACTTTATTACTCCAGTATGGCCACCTGAGACCCTCTCTAATAATCAGTAAAGCAGCGAGGAGAGAGTCCAAACAATAAATGTACAATTACAGAGGGAAATTACGTTTCCATAGCTTTCAAAAAGGCCAGAACTAATTTACACTTGAGAGAAAACTTCCTAATTAGTTTCAGCTACTTGCCAGGACATTTTGTTTATCACTCATATAATCCAGAGACATTAGCAACTAGGATAATTTGTAACTTGGCTCCCTGATGATAGAACTTAATTTGAAGCAGGAGTTTAAATGTTTTCAGAGTTTTAAATGGGCATCTTAAAATCTCATGGGATTTGTACCAACAGAGTGCCTTTGAGGGCAAGGGCTTAAATTAAAGGCATTCCTTTTCCACTGTAAAGTTTGTCGATATTATAAGGCACCTCATAATTCTGATGGAACATTATATTAATATTTATGGATGCTGCATAAAAGAGAAGTCCTTTTTTCTGTATTCTCTGGCAACATGGATATTGCACATGTTTATACTACATTAATATTCATATTGGGCTAGCCATATATTCCTCTCCCATTATTTGGTCCTTGCAAAGTAAACTGTATAAAATATTTCATGCTAGAATCCAGATGGAAAAGGTCAGCTATCATCAGATAGGATTTCAGGATATTGGTCCCAAAACTGATCCCCAATGATGTCACAGTGCAAAGGAACCACTGCAGTCCTCATCCGAGTCACTTCAACTTCCTTCTCTTCTGTTTCCTTTGGAATTTTAATTGTTTTCCTGATGATTTGATTTACCTAGAAATACAAGTGAAAAATTAATATAAAATCCTAGAATTAGGCTAGAAAGCAATTCAAGATTCAATTATTTTTAGAACTGTAACATTTAGAGTAATCCTATAGTCCCTCAACAATATCCTGAGGCCTTAGAATAGTTCAGAAGAAGAAAACACAAAACTTTAGGCAGAACTCCAACCTTAGAAGAAGTTTTCTGACACTAGAGCTTGCCTCAGCTCCTCCGAGCCACTTCAGAGGTTTCTGTAATGGCTCACTCTTGTGGTCAACTAATGGCCCTCCAGATATTTTTCACTATTCCCCGCTACTGGATAGGACTGACAGGAGCTGTGGTCCTCCAGATATTTTGGCTTGCAAGATGTCAACCTGTGCACTAGAAGGTTAACTCCCCAGCATGACTAGCTTGGGAAATGCTGAGAGTTGTGAAGACTTTCCTGGTTAATCATGCAAGGGATTGCACCTTAATGCTGCAATCATCTATAATCACTTATAGATTATAAGTAAATCCCATTGAAATGAAATGATTTTTGAGTAGACATGGCTTAGGTTTGCCCTGCATCAACCCTCTCATACAATTAACCTACTTTTTTTCTCAATGGACAGCAGCTCTGCTTCTTTATTACACCTCTATCTATCCTTGTTTTACAAAGGTCTATCGTGTAGGATAGGCTGCAAATTTTTATATAAGAACACATATAGGTTTATTTAACAGGGCCACTGACTAAAACTATGCAAGAAGTTTTAGACCTGGTTTTCCACATCAAAACAGAAAAAAATATTTTCAGACAATATAACCATATGCCTCATACTGATTAATTGATTAAATTATTTTATATATTACCAGGCTACTAGAAAGATGCCTTTCTGAATTAATGAAGGAAGAGTAAACTTCCAGTTTAACAAGCAGAAGCTACTTATTGATTTTAAAAAGCCATTTTTCCCATTCACTATTAGAAATAAAAAAATAAAACAAATTTCCCCTTAACTTTCAGTCTCACGGCTTAAAACTGCTCTCCTAGTGAATCATTAAGGCAACAATTCAATATACACAATCCTATACACATTGTGGGACTAGTATCTGGGTAGACATGAATAGGATAGTATTGTAAAGCTTAAAGGTACAACGCCAACTGAACACTTTAGCTTTCAACACTTTGTTACGAAGGTCCATTTTTAGGCACTTTTTTGGCTATAACTGTGGCCCAAAAACTGATTTTTAGCAACTGCCCACAACCTATTATTTGTGCGAAACACTTGTCTTCACTTTGCCCAATTGTGCACACACTAACAAGCCAGTCTGTCCAGCATCAGCTACATGATAGATATTGCTTCCACATTTCAAAAATTATCATATAGGCCATCCAAAAGGCTCACTGTGAATTAAAACATCTGTACCATATATATCCCGTAACAATGATGTCAATTAATTGAATATCTTGAAAACATTAAACTCCACAAAATCAGTTAAAATACAATGTTTTCAAAGGTTGCTAACAAAACACAAGATTGAATAGGTTTACTGGAAGATCTTGGGAAATACATATAAATCCAGTTTTTGTTTTGCTTACCCTGGTTACAAGTTATACTTTGAACTTTTATCTAGAAACATAGCATTTATTCTAAAGCTGTCATATGTTATATAACTGTTTTGGATGATTTCAGTATACTTATAGGTCAATTCCAAAGGAGCTAAATAAACTCTTTTCAATTAGCCTTTGCAAGTGTTCCTTCTTAGACTAGTATTTGATTGGTACTCATTGATTGCACTATTCTACCTTCCCTTGTTACTGTTGTCTTGGCTTAATTTTTATAGAGCTGGATAACACTATTGCACTGTTCCATTGTACTTTCAAAAGAAAAACAACTTGTATACTTTTTATTGATAGGGGAGATAAGAAACATTTGTTAGCAGTTCTGAAGTGCTTCAAATGGAACATAGCCAGGAGCACCATGTCACAAAGTATGATGTTCAACTGGCCTCACAAACAGATATACTGGTACAAATGCTAATGATCTGTACTTTACAAATCCAAGTCCCTCCTGCTTTTTTCTTCTTAACATTCAAAATATGCAGCCAAATTTAATACTTACTGGCTTATTAAACAGCAACAATAAACATGTAAGGAATAAAAAATGAAACAAAACAAAACTGGAAGTCATGAAGGATACAGTTAGCCATTCTGGGCAGAGAAAGCTCTGTACACTTGTCCTTTCCCTCCTTCAAGAACAGGAATACTGGTACTGAGTGTTCCAGCAATGGCTAATCCTCAAATCAGAAACACTAGTTCTGATCATTCAGGTCAGGGATAGTGACTGTATTAACTTCAGCACTTGAAAAAGTGGTAAACTTATAAGGCAGATTTGCCTCCTCACCACATGTGCTATGGTCAGAAAGCACTTAATTATCACAAGATACATTAGATAATTGCTTGTTACCTGCATATTGCCATTTTAAACACAAACATGGGTATATGTCAAAATGGTTTTACCTTTTGCCATACTAGAACAGTTCCTTTTCTATGGATCAGAGGTTCACTGTTGTAATTAATGTTGAATTCTGAAAATAAAATTTCATTCTTGTCACCTGCAAGAGTCCCCTAAAGACAAAAGAGGAAAACTATACCTCAGTTATATTTTTAAAACAATCAACAGTATCATATGGCACATGAGAACATTGCACCTCTTGATCACTGCCTGCACAGGGAGTGTACTTTCCTCTCAATTCGGGATCTGAGCTCTGTATTTGAGAATTCACCATACTCCTAGAAGTACTCTCTCCCTACAGAGATGAATCAGTCCACTTCTCCGCTTGTATTTAAACACAAAATTAAGCTTCATGTGGCTTTTAACTGACAGTTGCAGATTATATCAGTGCTGTTATCTGTGTTTTGTTTGCATGATATTTTATTGTGATTTTTATTGCTTTATGGTTCACAGTACCCATGACCTAGAAAGCATAATATTTCTCCAGATGGCCACCCACTTTTCCTCAGCCAAAAATCATTTGATGGTTCCATGGCTTTAGTCCAAGTTAATTCCTCATTTTAAGGACAAAAACATGCATGTTTAGACAAAAAAGTCCTATATGATGGCTTGGGTATGTTGGGGCTTAATAGGCCTTTTGCCTAAGCACACATAAGATTTCACTTTATTTCAAAGGCTGAAATGCCTTTTGTAAGGTTTAGTTAGTGGCAGTAAGGGCATGATCCTATGGCTCTGAGATGCCATCTAAACCACCATAGGGTAGGTTAGGCTCCTAGCCCAGACTTCAAACACATTTCAAAGTTGGAGCTGGGACTTTGACCAAACGGCATCCTCCCTTCACCCTTGCAGTCAGCATGGTTCTTTCCATGCCAACTGCAAATCTGAAGTTGTATATGCAACTTCAGGGCTAGTAGCGAGGGGGCAGTGGAGAGGAGTGAGATTTCAGTGGGACGCAAGGAATCCTGGGCAGTGGCAAAAAAACATATTTTTGCAGGGGAGGAGAAGCATGGAGGCAATCCTTCTGCCCTCAACTGGATGCCCATAATACTCCAAGTTCAGCGGATCACAAGCAACTAAACTGGATAGCATTTTAAGAGGCACAGGCTGCAACGTCTTGGTATTTTCTATTTTTTGCCCTTCCTCTTTTGCTTTCAGTCCCCCACCCCCTGCCACTGGTTTGTGGCCCCTCAGAGTTCCCGAGAACTGAATTCAGCCCTTGGAGTGAAAGAAGTTCCCCACCTTGATATACGGTGTAAAGTTAGTTGTCTAGAAGAGGTCCTTAAGTGGAACAGTATTATTTCTCTGTTACAATTCACTGTAAACTCTATAATGTTTTAATAATTCTGGTTGTTACAGGTCAGTAACCTGCAAAATTAGCAATGCACACACCAGTCAATCTGTGCATAAGAAGATACAAAAGCAGCTAAAAGAGACAAAGCAGCAAAAGAATGCCCTCTCCAATGTTACATAGCTGCTGAAGGTTATAGCTGTGCTGTATTACAGGAATGGGGCAGGCCACTTTCCAAAGGCTCATGCTACATTCTTCAATGAGCTAATTTTAGTAAAAATTTGGCAGAGTGGTCCTAAGGTGGTGGGAGATTCCATGGCAAAGAAACCACCACTATCTGAGCCTTGTCTACGTGTACCAGCTAGAGTAAATGAGGTTCTTCTGCCCCTCCTACTTGTTATGACTATTAAAAGTCTCTGTCCCATTGACACTAATAAGAAGGGAAATAAGTACATGAACCCCAGGGAAATGAAGAGGGAGAGGGGTGTCAGGGAAAAAAAGAATTTCAGTCTTGAGGGGCCAAGACTCCCCAGTATACCTCTTTCTGGCACTAAAGCAATGGTGGCACAGCTTTCTGCTGTGGCACTGGGGAAGTGCCAATGGCAGACCTCCATCTTTGCCAAATAAAAAGGAGGTCCACAACATCCAACATCTCTTAGGACTGCTCCCTAAATAACCACAAGTTCATACATTGCTTAGTTAAAAGCTTACTTAGGACTCTTAACTACAGTTAATACTCTATAAACTTACCATTCCTGCATGAAAGCAAGCACAAAATTATATGCACAGGCATTCCTATAAGAATAGTGTGTGTAAGGTAATACATATTCCAACAAATGCCCAGTATACGCCAACAAATGCCTTACAACTCTGAGCGTGGGGGATGGGACGGAGATCTGAATCACTACACAAATTGCTGGCATTAAACACAAGGCATAAGACACTATATGACTTAGGATGAGATCTTTGGAAGAAAGTTTCATACCTGTAGCCTCTTTTGTGCTTCTACTGGTGTTAAGCCACTTTTCTGCACAAGAGTCCAAAATACTGTATTGTACAGATTATTTATGTGACCTGCAGACACACCAAATGAAATCAAGACAGTTTGACCAGTTGGCAAGTGCATCAAAGAAGTTTGCCTCCACAGCACAGTCCATACAAATACCAGTATCAGGAAGTTTTGATTACATTTATCAGCACTTTACATGTAATTAAGCTACCAAAAGGTCCTACAATGAATCTGTGTTCCATGTTATACCTTATTTCTCCTCTTAATTCATACACTGCAACATGCAACCAAAGAGAAACCACTGTTATCTGTTTTGGGAGAATAATATTCAGTATAGAATTCAGGTAGCGGTGTGTGCTTAGAGAGGAGATACCCAAATAGATTGCTATACAGAGTCCGCAATAGTAGTTCATGAAGTATATTACTGCTTGCCTTGAATGTGTAGGAATATTGGTTCCTTAATTACTAGACAACTAAAAGAAGTGGCAGCACCATATCCTATTTCACAACTGAATACAATACTAAGTACATTTCTCATGTGATGCTAATGTAGCTAAAATTGCTACATTTCTTATGCTAGCTAAAGGGTGGGAAGAGAGGAAGGGACTACCTTCCCCAACCTGTAATATTCCAAGTTCTGTCCTAAGTCTCTACTGCTTTTTATAAGGGTAAGAACCAAAGATGTGGGAAAGGATTCAGGATATTTCAAGTGGGTAGAGGCAGACCTGCCTGCCTCCTACTTCTCCATAGTTTTTCAATTCAAAAAGTGTATTGTACTAGCCAAAGGCCATGACAAATACACAAATGGATGCACATAAATGACAAAATGAAGAATTTCATCAATATAAATAGAAATTGAAATATGAACAGAAATTCATTTTAACTCTGAATTTCTGATGCAGCTTATAGCGATTTTGTCTAATTCTCTCTTCCTGACCTTTTTGCTGCTGAAACAAATGAAGCAACTTTGTGTCACATAACTATTATCACTTTTAAAAAAAAACTGTTTCTGCCAAGACATTCCTGGATCCATATGATAGCAAGGGTTTCAAGAATCTCTGTCTGGGGTTAGTATATAAAGGACAGATTCATATGACACTTATTATATTACTCATCCAAGCTGGCTGGCATAAATTGAAATTGCAAATCAATAAAGGTGTTTCTTAAAGAGGATGATCTCCATCTGGACAGATATCTAGCTCTATAATGTAATGCTTTCAAAAGAGTTTTGAAATTTAGAGTTTTTAATTAATTGCAGGTCTTTTCTAGAGTCTATCCAAAATAACCAGTCCCTTAATTGGCTCTTATCCAGAGTAAAGATGGTATTCAGATCAGAAATATAACATGACAAATTACGAAGCCTTGACTTGTAGGTATGCTTTTCATTCATTTCCAAATGGTACAAAGCTGGAAAACATTCATTAGGGAGAAGAGCAATTTGTTTTAAGGTATCACAATTAAGCACAGTCAATTAGTTACAGCCATCAGAAGAGTAGTCCTGTGATATAAATCAATGGCAAAAAACTGATGTGTTGTTTGTAATGTAAGAGATACTCACAATCAGCCTGTCGCCAACTGAGATAGTCTTTTAGATTCTGGTCACTAGGATACAATATAACACGTCCATCAAATCCTGGTGGATACAAGAGAGGCTGGTCCTTAAAGTAATCTTTCCAGTAGAAAACATAGCTGGATGCAAACTGGGAAACTACATGAGTCATGAACTTACTTGTAAAAAGAACATAAAAGGGGAGAGAAAGTATAAGTTATTAATATCATATGACTAGTCTATGTAATCTAAAAATGCCTCTTTTTAAAAAGGTGTCAGAGCTGCTCCAAAGCTTTACCCACTCCCATCTTCACTCCCAGGAGGTTTCTAGCTTGGTTGGTTATATACCAAGCATATAAAATTTGACTGACCTAAATTAATGGCCCTGTGGCAAAGGCAGGTAACCCCTTTTAATCCATGGGCAAGATTGCACCTGCCCCCCAGATCAAGGTAGCAGATTGGATGTTGGCAAGAAAGCAAGCTGCAAAGCCCCATTCACTCCCACCATGTCCTTTACCACCCCCATCTCCTTGGTCTTCCATGCCTCTTTTTACACAGAAGTAAGTTGGCTACTTGATTTTAGGTTAAAATCTCTTTGAGGTCCATTTCTTTTTGCACTGGGTACAAGGAGGCAGAGGACAAAGTTTTGAATTTTGACTTCCAGCTCTGTGCACTGCCTCTGATCTCCAAGATGGAAATCTGAACTATCTTATGGCTAGTAAGACAATGTCTAGGGGCCACGGGATCATTCCCTTATAATCTTGTTCACTGTAGTGTTGCATTTTATGGTTTTAACTATTGTGAACTAGACAGCTTCAGCTATTGGGTAACACAGAAATGTAATTAAATAATACATATCAAACCAGAGCTGCCACCATGACCAGCCCCAAAACAGATAGCAAGGTCAGGGTCTTACATATCTTAGAATAAAGCTAGCTAAATAGCAATCATGCTGTACAAACTAAATGCATATACGAAAAAGGGGAGGGAGGAAGTAAACTCAGAAAGAAGTTACCTTTTTCTCCTCTTAAACCAGTTGGTTTTCTTTTTGAAAACAAAGCTGTATTCATCACTTTGGCCATATGCAATAACAATGTCTTCTAGTTCTTGCATCACTGTTTGTGCACACTTGTTCATCAACTGAAGTGCATGATCATCATTTGGCTTCTTAAAACCATGCTGCTCAGCAAAGCTTCAAAAATATATACACACATTAAGGCTGCAACCCTGACTGCACTTACCAAAAAACACTCCACTTAGCACAATTGTACTTGTTGAGTCAACATGCACTGAACATTTCTGTTAGGAAATGGGATTTGTCAAAGCAATTAAGGTGGTTCTCAGTCTGTATTTAACATAGTGCAAATTTTGTGATGGTCTGGATCTTGGATTTTTTTTTCAGTGTTTAACAATTTTTTGAAAATTTTTGAGGCTGCAATGTGCTTATTGTAATCATATTTGTGCCTACTGAAGATAAGGGAAACCAATACACCTGTTAAAAAAAGAAAAAAGTTTACTACAACCGAGGGCAGAAACCCTACCTATAACACAAATAGCTCAATGCATTCCTAAACGAGATGAAACAACTCCTACCGCTAATCAAAAAACCTTTTCACTCTTTCAATATATTGGAGGCAATACCACAGTTACCGCTTTTCAAATATTTGTTTTAATACTAAATTCCAAGGTATGGGTTAATTTGTGTGGTGCCAGAATTTGGTTGCCCAATATGAAAAAGCTGACACCATTCACATGTTAAATGAGATTATCATGAGCTAGGATGTAAATAAAAAATTTCCACTTGTGGTCTTCCTAGGAAACAAGATGCTGCACCAGACAGGCCTTCTGATCCAAAAAAGCTCTTCCAAAGAGGAAGCTGAATCTGATGCACAAAATAGGTAGAACTTTCATTGCTTAAATCATGCAATCACTGACACATAACCAGGCCTGAGAAAAATACTCTTTTCTAGAAACCAGCATGTGCTCATCCTTGAAATGCAGCTGACACTGACCAAGCACCAGTCCAGAGAAAACCAGTTTGCATCTGACAGGTAACAGCAGCTCAAACAAAGGGCAATTCACACCACCCCACCTCCTCCTCTTCTATGTAATAGCACCCTATTCTCCCCTCTCCTTCAGAGAATCTTCTTTGATATACAAGTGGGAAAATTCCACCTTGTAACTTTTTACTTCTATAACCTATTGGAAAGTATTACGGTATTATGTGTAACCCTCTAATGATCATGTATCAAAGGGCCAACTGAGAACTGCTCAGGTACACCATCTGGAAATATTTGTTGCTAAGTCGGTTATTCTCGAGAATAAATCCTTTAAAAGAAAACCTCCCCCTATTGTGTATTTTTGGGCATCCGCTCACCAGAACACGGACCTTTTGGTCAACAAATCCAACTAAAAAGACATTGGACACATATTTATCAGTACCTCAAGTAAATATATAGGAACTGATAAACTAATGTATCATTCCTAAATAGGAAATAGTAAAAAAAATGCACAAGGTCCAAGAACTTTTGGAGTAAGGCTCATCCAGTTTTCCATCGTCTGGAACACTTTGCTTGCCTCGGCGAGTTGACCACTGCAAAAACCTGCCCGGGACAGGCGGCCAGTCATGCCCAGCCAGCCTTAAACACTCTCGGCCAGAGTCCCCCAGACACGAGAGAGATGCTGCGCCGAAAGCCTATCAGCTGCGCCCTCGCGCCGACGCCGGGCCCCAAGCAGAGCAGGCACCGCCCACTGCCCCTCCCGCCTCCCACTCCCATTGGCTGATCAGCCGCCTGCGGCAATCGAGCTCCGCGAGGAGCCGTTGCCGCCACCAATGGCGGAAGCAGGGCTTACCGGTGGAAGCCTCGTCCGTCTAACCGCACCACGATCCAGCAGTTAGGCAAGCACGTATCGTCCGCTTCAAAGTCCCGCACGTATTCGAACTTGCTCTTTGCCATGGCGACCCGGTTAGAACACTGCCAGGCGCGAAGCCGCAGGCCAGCTCCGGCGACAGCACAACCGAGTCGACGCAACGCTATCATTGGCGGAAGCAACGTCGAAGAATACCGGAAGAGGGTTGCTCTAGCACTAGTCTCGATGATACCGCAAAATCTTTCATGATAGAAGCTGGGGTAATTAACTGAGGGATTTAATACCTCACAGAGCTGCTGGTCGTAGACAGAATGTTTGGTCCCCGCATAGAGCCAAAGGTGAGTCGAGGCTGAGAGTTACGTACCCTTTGATCCCAGATCTGCATCAGCTGCTGTGGCTTTGGTCAGTCGGGAGAGACGAGCTTTTGAAGCACATGCTCAACGGTGATTGATTCCTTTGCACGAGCCACTGAGAGTGAAACTCTGGTTGTGTCTGGCAGTTGCAGAGCCGAGCTCTTCGGGACGCTCGGATTTAAACTCGGTCTTTCCCTAAAGTGCAATTCAGGGCACGTCCTCGATTCAGTTATCTATCAGGTATACATGCTACTCTCGCAGTGATGGAGAGGCGGACATTAAACTTTCTGAAAACCAAACGTCTGTGTGATCAATTTCTGGTCTTCCAACTGTTCTGGTCTCCCAACTCTTATCAGCGCTAGCCCACGTAATCAATGCTGCGGACTTAGGGAACTGCAGTCCAAAACTTCTGGAGGGCCACGAATACCCACCCCTAACGTGGCCTCGGTCAGCGTTTTGTTGCTCTTCCAGGCCCCACTGCGCTCATTGGCAATGGATATAAAAGTCTGCATTACGCTTAAAATAATAATAAAGGGAAACAGTTTGCATTACGCTTAAAATAATAAAAAAGGTTGGCGGGCGGGCACAGCATACGCAGCGGTCAAGCCCTCTGGGAACACATCATGTGAACGAAAGGCACTTCCGCACCGGGAGAGACTCGGCTGGCTCCACGACAAATGGGACTGTCCGTGAAAGTAAAGCCCTCAGCCAAAAAAGGCGCCGGCGCAGCGGGGGTACGCGCGTTCCTCCCAGGCTCTGGCGATCCCATTGTTACGTGGTTGCCAGGGTAACCATGGCGACCACCAGGAAACAGGCCCAAGGAGAGAAAAGTGGGAGGCACGTGCAGCTCCGCAATTGCCCTCTCTTGCCGGGTGGCGCGTGGCTCCCCGAGAGCCGGAGGGCGGGGTCTGCCGCGGCGCGTGCACCTCGGGGGAGGGGGAGTGGAGAACGTTTGCAAACCAACCGCAGGAAACAAACGGGCAGTAACAGAGGGCGAGAACTGAGCTCACAATCCCCAACAATCCCACGCTCAGGGGCGGGCTGCAGCATGGAAAAGGGGGCGCAGGAGGAACCCCCCCGGGAGCAGCACCGCCTCCTGCATCCCGCGGCTTGGCAGGGCACTCCCCGCATGGACCACCTTCTCCTGCACTCTCTACCGGGACACGGGGCCAGGGACTCCCACCTTCTGCTCTTCCCCTCTAAGCAGGGTCCCCAGCACCACCTCCTGCACCCCCTATCCCCCAAGCAAAATGCCTTGCACAGGGAGCAGAAGCCCCCACTGTCTGGGGAAGGCGCCTCCTGTAAAGAGCAGCAGCTACATATCTTGGAGGACCAGGCTTGTTTTGGCAGGCAGGTCGCCCAGCCTGTCATTGGGTTGGAACCTGGGGATTCTGAAAAGCAGCACCAAGAGGAAGAAAACAGTTTGCACAAGGTGTTGCAAGTGAAAACTGAAGAGCAGGAGAGCCTGTCCCTCTTGACAGGTAGCAGCAGCAAGAAAAAGAGAGGGGAACTCAAAGCTGCTGCAAATCATGGAGGAGGGAAGGAGGATGGCAGCAGCAATTTGAAGGCAGGAGGGGAAATCCAGTTGGGGAAAGTAGAAGAGCCAGAGGAGATCAAGAAAGAGGGAGACAGGAAAGAAAATTGTGATGCCAAAGCCTTGGTTTCTGGAATTGAAGGTGCCATCAAAACTGAACTGGTGGAGCCTCCTGAGGAGGACTGCAAGGGGAGGGAAGAGGCGGCATCCAAGCCTCATCCATCCTCCAACGGCCCAGCTCATGTCAGCAAAGATGTTAGTTTGCCTCAACCTCTTGGGGCACAGCAACCGCAAGAGCTGAAGATTCCCGTTACACTCCATCCAGTCCCTCCAGGGACTAGAATCCAGTTTCAGGGGCCTCCTCCATCTGAGCTCATAAGAGTGACTAAAGTGCCAGTGGCTCAAGTACCCCTTAAAATGCAGTCCTTGCTCGAGCCTTCAGTGAAAATTGAAACTAAAGATGTGCCTCTCACAGTGCTACCTTCAGATGCAGGTATTACATAGGAACCGAAACAAATGCTTACAATTTTCCCTTTACTTATTTTTAATGCATAAGTAAGATCTGAGGTAAAACTCTTCTTGTATATTTAATTGCATCACTACTTTTTCATTCTCAACTTTTGTTTAAATATAGAAATACAATACAGCTTATGCAGGTAAGAACTGCTTGCATGTGACATTGTCTAGCTGTTGTAAGATAAAGTTTATGGAGTTGGAATTTGCACAAAATTTCATGTATAAGATTTTTCTTACCTTTGTTGGAACTACCAGTGGTAGAGCCATACCAACAGAAAAATCTATTCTTTGTGTGTGTGTTTGTGTGTGCATTTGGAACTGATGCACAGAGATTAGCTGCTCTTTCAACCCCAGAATAAGATGCAACAAACTCTGTTGTAGCTTCTCTGAAAGCTAGCTTGAGGGCATCAACTTTCATGGACTAGACTCTGCTTCAAAAGTCCATAACGGACAATAACACAATAAACCTGTTAGGTATTAATTATTTTATTTATTGTACCTCTCACTGAAGGAATTTGGAGCTATGAAAAAGTATATCCCCACTTTTATTCTCACAGCAACTCTGCAAGGTATGTAAAGCTGAGAGATATATTGAGTAACCTAGAGTTACTGATAAGCTTCATACTTGACCATGAATAGGAACGTTTAACTTCCTTCTCAGAAGTGAGGCATGCTAATCCCTATACCACACTAGCTCTATGATTCTGCAAGACTGGAATTTTTAGTTTGTACCCAATTCCTCCAGACCTGCTAGCACAAATTAGTGTTAGCCATTTAAAAAGCAACCAGAAACACTAGTTTCTGGAACAGGGCAAATTCTGCTGAGCTTGCAGACAGAAACTCCGCTGTCCTGTCCCAATCTGGAAATGAATGTTTCTACTTGTTTCCAGGGTTGCTTTTGCACAACAGAACAAGCAGAAACACATCAGAAATATTGGATAAAAACCATAGTGTTTGGCTGCAACAAGGCAACATAGTTATTCTTCTGGAATCTGTCACTTTAGCTATTTCTAAGTTTTATTCTGGTCCCAGCATCATCCTTTGTAATGGACATGTACGATTTCTCATAGGTAAGTAAGATAAGTAGGATGTATTATGTTTTACATTATATTCTAACTACTTGAAGTATTTACTTAAAAATAAGTTGACAAGCTTAAGTTTGGATAAAACAGGTTTTAGGATAGTTTGGATAGGATAGTTTAGGATAGGAGCCAACCAAAAATATTGTTGGTTTAGTACTGGTTTCTTTGAAAAATAAGTATCACAACTCAGGGTGTCAACCCTGTAAACCTCTTAACTCAGAGGATTGTGGGCATCCAATAGAAGGTGGTGGGAGGAGTATGGAGCTAGGATTGCCTCCACACTCCCCTCATCCTCCAGAACAAGCTACTGCAGACTGGGGGTTCCCCATCCTGCCTTGCAACAGAGATGCAGGGCTCATAATAGTTAAGCGGCCTCTGCGTTAATAACATAAGAAAAGCCATGCAGAAGCAGACCTGAGGTCTGTCTATTTCTGCTCTCCATACACATGGTGGCAGACCAGCTGCCCACAGGATTGCTCAAGCAGGATGGCTGCAAGACCTGGCTGCCCAAGTGCCTCAGCAGCTAGTGTATCAGGCACGCCACTCCATCAAACAACCAACCCACTGTTGCTTAAACCACCATGGCTTGCTAGGAGCCATGGTGAGTGTGGGGTGTGATTTATGTACTCACTGCCAGTGTAGCTTATAGAGTGGTATCTTGGCTCACGAACTTAATCTGTTCCAGGACTCTGGTCATGACCCAAATTGATCATGAGCCAAGTCAAATTTCCCCATAAGGTTCAGTGTAAATAAGGTTAATCTGTTCTGTAACTATTTTTTTAATCACAACAATTTGAAGCAAAGTGAGAAAGAACAACAACGTTAACAGCCATCCCCCCCCCCCCGCCCCAACACGACTGCGATTGCACCTGTCATCCCTGCACGTGCGCGATCACGGGCGGATCGGGAGGTAGGGGGACACAGAAGTGATTGTGGGCGCGTTCACAATCGTCACTCGATGCGAAGTTCGTGACCTGAGGCAATTTTTTTCAGAAATTTCTGTTTGCGACCCCATTTGGTTGTGAACTGAGGCGTTCATGGGCCAAGGTACCACTGTATACCCCCAACTTGTGGGAAGGCTAAACAGATTTCAAATATAGCATCCTATGGATTATTTGAGGACTTGCATGGACTTCAACTGACACTAAGCCACTGTGGCTTTTTTTGATCATATAACCAGATCAATGCAGTCTAGTACAGTGATGGCGAACTTTTAGAGGCTGAGTGCCCAAACTGCAACCCAAAACCCACTTATTTATTGCAAAGTGCCAACACTGCAATAAAACCTGAATACTGAGGTTTTAGTTTAGAAAAAACAACTCCCAGACAGTCCAAGCAAATATATATATCTCCTTGGCAGTGCACTGAGCAGCCATGTGAAAGCAAGGACAAGTTGCAGTTAAGGAGTCGCAGCTTGTGACATCATCGCCTGGCACCACTACTCCTTTCCAAGCATGTGCATGGCCCCTATGTGCTCTGTTATCTGATCCTCAGCTGCTGGCGCAATGCTGGGGCAACTTGGCTTGCGTGTCGACAGAGAGGGCTCTGTGTGCCCACTGTGGCACGCGTGCCATAGCTTCACCACCACTGGTGTACTATATTAACCTTCACTCCAACCAGTTCTTCACACCCATTACAAGGGTGTAATTACAATTTACTACTTATTAGTAAATAAATAGACCTCTTATGCCAGATCTTCTAAAAATGTATAAAGCAGGTAATTTGAATGGGAAGGCACAATAGCACAGTAATAGAGCACATCTTTTGCAAGCAAAATATCCAAGGTTCAGGACCTAGCAGGTTCAGTTCCTGTAGGGACTAGGAATTACACCAACTTGAAACTCTGGAGAACTACTGCCATTCAGTGTAGAGCAGACAATACTGGGCTAGTAAACTAGTGGTCTGTCTCAGCATAAGGAAACCTCTTTTGTTTCTAATATCAGTTTTGTTTCTAGTATCAAAAAGCAAAACAAAGGGGCATTGAAAGCTCCATAAATCTCACTTCAGTACACTGAAATCTTATGTAACATGGAGTCAATTCAAATTATATGCAATCACTTGATAATTCCTTATATTAAAATTATTTTTTCTTTGGAACAAAGTTTCAAAATCTTGAGATTATTTCAGTTATGGAATTAAATTTCTAATTAGGGTTGTTATTGTGAATATCCTTGCAACTTACCATGAATCAAAATATATCCTACAAATAGAGTATTAAAAAAAGATAACTTACACAGTAAAACCAAGTTAATAGGATCACTTTCCTTTGAAAATGAGCCTATCATAGGATAGCATTACATCCCCTATATTATGTAAACACAGCACTCCACACTTCCATCCCTGTGTTTCAAGGGATCTGTCAGTTCATCATTTAAATAAACTTTGTATATATAGAAATATATTTCAGAGAACAATGGCTCTTGAAATAGTAATAAACAGTCTTTTAACTGGATATCTCTATATCTATTTTGGAAAACAAATTGCTATTCTTATGATTCCTAAAGAAAATTAAACCACCTACCAGATCCTATAAACCTACTTGTTTCTGAATCTGTACATTCAGAAACAAAATTTGTTGAAATGTCTGCCAAAATTTAAACAAAGAAGGAAAAGTTTTGGGCCCAATATTTTTCCACAGTCATCTTAGTCCCTGAAAAGAAGGCATGATAATTCATAATTTCTAGCTCTCTCAGCCAGTTGTGAGAGTCATTGTCCAAACTTCTGGACAGAATCAGCATGGGGAAGACTTGTTAATATTATGGAACATTGTGTGTATTAACACTGCATAGCTCTGTCCATTAACTAGAATGGGAGGAAAAGGGTTAATGTCATGGACAAAATACCACCAACGTCTCTACTTGATCTGGGTTGCTCTTGCCCCTAACCTCACCTGGAAGGGTCACATGACCACCCCACACGTACACTCACCATGAATGAAGCATGTTCTTCTCTCCTTCTCAATTAACAATGGAACTTCCTCCTGAATCAAAATATCCTGAATGAACATACCAACACATGGAGGCAAGCAGTACAGGAGGAAATAGAGGCTTTCCTTCATGCAAGTCAAATACGGATTGTTTTTCTGTAACATTTTTAATGTTTTGTTGTAAGCCTTCAGTGTAGATTGATAGATCTAGGTGCAAGCAACAGCAGCTTAACTAAATGCACCATTGAATGATTACATCTGCCAAACCAATATACAACAGGTTCCTAACAACATTCTGGGCCAGGGACTTGATTTTGCTTCTGAAAATTCCTAGCAGTTGTTCCACAGGGGAACAAGTGCACATGGCCAGAGGAAGCACGCAGAAGACACTTGTGCAGAAGACACAAATTGTGGAGTTGTGGCACAAGCATTTAGGACATTACCATCCCAAGATGATTTTTAAAATAAAGACCTTACAGGCATCAAGATAAGACAGTGCAAGTTAAAAAGTTGAGAAATGTGTGTGCTGCATTAAGACAAAAGGACTGAGACTCAGTTTTCTACCATACCGTGAGAAATATGCTATATGCTAGTATAGTTCTGGATGGGTGCCCTCTAGTGGTGTAAATTGTATGCAATGACCGTTTTTAAATGATTTATGTATTCAGTGGTCTACCTTCTTGCAGGCAAAAGTGAAACCTCAGAGATGCTAGAATGTTCTGTGGCAATGATGACCAACAAATTTGGAAGAGCACCTGAAGTGATTCAGATGAATCATGGCAGTGAATACATGTCACGTAGCTCACAAGCTTTCCTAACTGAGAAGGGGATAAATCACAGAACTTCTGATATTTACACCCCTGAGCAGAGTGGATCAGCTGAAAAACAGAACAGATCTCTTGTGGATAAAATGCTATGCCTTCTCATAGATTTAGGCCTCCCCAATAAATGGTGCAGAGAAGCTTATAA